GCATAGAGACAGAAAGACTAACAGAGACAGAGAGACAGAGGCAGAGATAGAGAGACAGAGACAGAGAGAGACAGAGACAGAGAGACAGAGAGAGACAGACACAGACAGAAACACAGAGAGAGACAGAGAGACAGGGACAGATAGAGATAGAGAGAGAGACAGACACAGACAGAGAGACAGACACAGACAGAGAGACAGAGACAGAGAGACACACAGATACAGAAGGAGAGAGACAGAGAGACAGAGGCAGAGAGAAAGACATCTTCTATTTCTTCCCTGGGGTTCAGAGCAATTCTTTTTTTTTTTTTTTCTGTGCTGATTCCTATAGAGAAGCTGGATGTTGGCCTCTTTGATCCCCTGTAGGCTGAAATCACTTGTGGTTGATTTCACTCATTATAATAAAGGTCTATTTCAGGCATTCTTCACCTTTTTTGTCCCTTTCACACTTTGGTGAAACTTATGGACAGACCCCTTCTCAGAATAATGTTTTGAATAACTGGAAAAAATGCTAAATTTCAGTTAGAGGTTAGAAAAAATAAAGATGTAATTTTTCTCCATCCAAGTTCCTGGGCCCCCTGAAATTTATTTAAGGAAGGACCTTTTGGGGGTACATGAGCTCCAGGTTAAGAGCCTCTAGTGTATTGCACCAAAATAATTTGAATGTTTCTTAGAGTTCATTATAAATGGATATATGTATGTATACATATGTAAACATGTACATACATATGTCTTAATGTGTATTTATAACACATTCACAAGGTGTATGTAAATATGTGTGTTTAAATGCATATATGTACACATCATATGAGATAATATGCATGTGTGTGCATATATACATACATGTTTATACATATATACACACGTGTATATATTTATATACACATATAACAAAGGCCTACAGCGCAAAGGGCATTCCCAGCTGTTCTGTCTCCTCACAGGACAAAGCAGAGGGAAATCAATTGTAGCCAGTGGCAATCAGGTTAGATACAAGGAAGACCTCTGGTGGAAACACAAAAATCAGGGTGGAGGTGAGAGATTCTGACAAATAGAATTAGCATTTGGTCATTGATCGAGTGTGGGATTTGAGGAGGAGTCAGAGATGGCTCTGAAGTTTTCCCCCTAGGTGCCTGGGAGGGACAATGACGGCATCAGCAGCCGGGGGAGCAGAGAAGGAGGAGCAGGTCTTTGCGGGAGGAGGGCGAGGTCAGTTTGGGGCACACGGAGAACTTATGCCAAGATTGCTGAGCACTAGAATGGAAACAATGGAATCGCCCTCCCATGTGAGTCTTTAAAAAGAGGATTCATTGTCCTCCCAGCGAGTTTGTTTGGGACCATCTGGGCAGCCGTCTGGAAAGATTTGGGGAGAGTACTCAGAACATAGAAAAGTGCCCTCCTGGGTCAGCTCGGGGTCCTGTCTTGGCCTGGGGTGCTGTGGAATGGTTGGGGGAGGGGGGAGTGAGCTCCCGGCTTTTTCCATCACTCATTGCAGAAGGTCAAAAGGGCTGCCTGAAGACAAGGAGGGAAGGCTTGGGAATGGACTTCACCGATCCCACAGAACCCTTATGGCCAAAGGCTGGAAGACATAAAAACCCATAAAACTAAAGACCTTTGTATCAGAGTGTAGGAGCGTGTCTGTGTCTCTGTGTGAGTGTCCTCCTTTGCCTTTGTGTGTTGTGTGTGTTGTGACATGTGTCTACACATATATGGTGGTATGTGTCAATGTGCATATCTGTAAGACTGAATACGTGTGAGCATGAGCATGCATGCACCTATGATTCTCGGGGCCAAAAGTGAAGAGTATGGGAAAGAACCCTGAATTTGAAACCGAAGTACCTGGATTCAAATTCGGTCTCTTCTACTTCTTTACCGGCTGTGTGTGTGTTCTCTTCCCCCCTACCCCACTCCCCCCCCACACTCCTCCTCCCCCCATCCCGCCTCCCCCACCTTGGTTTTCTCCTTTGTAAAAGGAGGGAGCTGAGCAAGATGAACTTTAGGGCTCCTTGCAGCTCTAAATCAGGGATGCTGGAGTACAGTGTTTCCCCAAACTGCCACAATGAACCCTGCAATCCCCCCAGATTTGTTTTTCCAATGAACCTTAAGCTGCTCATTAATCATCATTAAAATGATCACTTTGGAGGATTATACTGCAAGGCTTCTGTCAAAGTTTTCTTTAAGCAGGATTCTACCATCATAGAAAAGATTGAGATCCCCAGTTAGAGTTCATTTCCCTAGCGTCTGTGGCCCACATTTGTAGAACCATTGGGGAATCCAGGCTTTTAGACATATTGTTGTGTTGCCCTAAGGTGGCTGAGAGTCCTTTTCAATTATATGATAAGTTTAACATAAAAATCCCTTGATGAACCACACTTGGGTGGTGGAGGAATGTTTCCAATGGCTGCCTATACTCCTGTTCTATTCAACCTTTTTTTTTAACCTCTCAAATTTGTACATGACACAAAGCTTATGTGTTGTAAAAGAGGATTGGGATCTGAAAGGTCTCAACAGGCTGGAGTGATTTACCAAAATGAATAAATTGGAAATTAGTATAAATAAATGTAAAGTCCTACATATGGGTTCAAAAAGCAAACTATACCACCACAGGATAGGGAAGATGGGGCTAGAAGACATTTCATATAAAAAAGACTTGGAGTTTTTAGTAGACTGGGAGTTAATAGCATGAACAGCTAAGTGGTACAATGAATGGAGCACCAGGCCTGGAACCAGGAAGACCTGAGTTCAAATCCAGCCTCAGGATTTGAGTTCTAGCTGTAGGACTTTGGGCAAATCAATTCATCTCTGTCTGCCTCAGTTTCCTCATCTGTAATATATCATAATATATTACAGGGGATCATAATAGCACCCACCTTCCAGGGTTGTTATGAGGATCAAATAGGATAATATGTGCAAAAGTGCTTTGTAAACCTTAGAGTGTTATAATTACATATATATATTGTAATACATATAATTATAGATTCGAACTCAGGTCTTCCTGACTCCTGGTCCAGAGTTGTACCACCTAGCTGCCTAGCTATTATAGGAAGCCAGATTTTAGCTCAATGTAAGTCAGAACTTCCTGGCAATCAGAGGTCTTCTACTCTGGAATGGCTAGACTCCAGAGAGAGTGAGTGCCTTGTCACTGGAGGTATTCAAGCAGATGCTGAATGATGGCTTGTTGGGGATATGCTAGAGGGGATTCCCACTAAGGTATGGGGCTGATGAACTTCAAAATCCTGTCCAAATCTGTGGTTCATCACTAATTAGCCTTCAGCTTGGCAGAACTCTCCAAGTAGCTTTGGAAAATAGATTGTTTTCCAGTCTATTTCCAGGTAGAAGTGGAGATCATCCTGTGATTGGATTGGGTTGTCCATATCTAGAGAGGTGTGGGGGGGTGGGTGGAGCCCTTTGTTGACATTTGTAGAGTACTTCCTATGTGCCCAGCACTGTGCTAAGTGCTTTACAATTATTATCTCCTTTGATCCTTACACCAACCCTGGGACATAGCTGCTATTTTTTCCCCATTTTACAGATGAGGAATCTGAGGCAGACAGAGTGAATTGATTTGCCCAAAGTCACACAGCTAGGAAGTGTCTGAAGCCAGATCTGAACTCAGGTCTTCTTGGTTCCAGGCCGGCACTCAATCCCCTGCATCACCTAGCTGCCCCAAAACAGAAGGGAAAGGGAAAGAAGGAGGTCCCCCGTCAGAAACGTCTTACCAGCTATGCTTAAACCACAGAGGCCAGAGCTTCGCATTGATTCTGCTTGCTGAAATCAGCATCGGGGAAAGAGCCCTTTGCTTGGATACTAAATGACTTCTCTTTTCCAATATTGCCACAGCTCTGCAACGGGCCCATAGCTTCCAGCAACCAACTTCAAACAAATACCAAAACTGGAGAAGAAAATTCCAATCCAGTAAGTCACCCTCTATCACCGGTTGCAGTAACAACTTTTTGTTCATTCTTCAAGACCAGCTGCCTCATTTCCCATCCCCTTCTCCTCGGAGATTGAGGACAGAAGGAAGGGGCTGGGAGCAGGGTCAGGGGGATGATTTTTTGTGTCTATGCAAGGCCAGATGGGAATAAACCTGTCCTGGTTCTGGAAACATACCCTCTTCACTTGCTACCCCTTACTGCCATCCCATCCTTCAAAGAAAATCACTGCAGTGGGGCCACATGCTTGGAGCTGGGACTTGGGGGTGGAAGGAAGCAAGAGGTGGGGTGACATGAGAGCTTCATGCAAGTCAATGCAAATGAACATGAAAATGAGTAGAATCCAGCTGCTTTAAACTTTATTTTTAAATATTAAAAACTGAACACAGATAGTACAACTAACTAAACTTGTTTAGACATTCAAATTAATTTATTTCAATGCAAAAAGGTATTATAATTTTTCAGTGCTTCTCTCTAAGACTTAAGTCCTCATCTGTCCTTTTTTTAAAAACAGGCCCAGCCAAATTCAATTCAACAAGCATTTATTAGACCACCTACTGTTGGGTGAAAGGGAGACAAAGATGAGAGAGAGAGAGAGAGAGAGAGAGAGAGAGAGAAAGGGACAGAGACAGATAGAGACACAGAGACAGAGAAAAAGAGACACAGAGAGAGAGAGAGAGAGAGAGAGAGAGAGAGAGAATTCTTACCTTCAAGGAGTTTATATTTTACTCAAACAGTGCAACATGTACACAGGTAAGTTGTTACAAGAGACATCCAAAATAATTATTGGAGGAGGATGGGCTTAGCAATTGGGGCGTGAGGAAAGCAGGCAGGAACTACCCAGCTTACTCCCTGGTGTAGGGCAGAGGGAAGGTGGTTGGTTCAGAGGCCAGCAGGATTTTCTGGAGATGCCTCAGTTTCCTCACTTGTAGAACAAGGGGTTTATACTAAGTGACCTCCAAGCTTGCATCTATGAGCCTAAGTTCTTAAATCTACCTCCTAGGGGCCGTCTAGCTTCCTCATTACCTGTAGGAGAGTGAAGTGAGAGAAGAGGTGAGATAACCAAGGAAGTCAGAAGGCTCCCCCTGCCCCCCCCAAAAAAAAACCAAAGGAAAAAAACCCCTAAGGAACAAAGTTGGTTTTTCCTTCCAGCCCAGCTCCCTGGGCTGCAATGGGGGGAGGAGGCAGGGAGAAGGCAGGGAGGGAGGGATGAGTCACGGAGCACTGTCAGCAGTGACCCGGCTCCCACACCAGCCTTCGAGGGTCAGTAGTCACACAGACCCCGCTCTGACTCCAACTGTTTGACACCCACATCTGTTCTGGCTCTCCCACCCACTACAGCCTGAGAGCCTGAGCCACAACAAACAGCAACTGTTGTCCCGACTAGGGGCCAGGCGGCAAACAGAACAGAGGGGACGGCCTTCTGGGAGCCCCGGGGCCAGAGCAGCTGCCTCAGTGGGACTGGGGCGCCACCTTGCCCTCCCAGAGTGCTTTGGGATGTGAAATAAATATTTAACCTTGAGAACCAGAGATCTGGAAGGCTTCTTAGACATCTAATCCAGCCCTTCTTTCATAAAGAAAGGAACAGAGATGACAATGATAAAGTCAGTTTGTGGTGGTGCCAGGATTAGAACTCGAATCTCCTGACTCCCAATTTGATGAGGGTATTTTTCTTAAAAAAAAGTTTTATTAATACCTTTAAAAACATTTATTATCACATCTCAACAACTTATTTCCTTGTAACAAATCACAGCATTTAAACAAAACAGATCAACCCACTGACCACATCTAAAAGTGTATGCCCCATTTCCCACCACCTTGCTGGCAAGAGATAAGAAGTATATTAGAATTATAAGTCTCTGTTGTTCTTTTCACTATGCCATGCTGATTAAAGTGAATTAAAATTATGGCCTTAAAGAAACTGAGACCCAGAGGAATGAGCTTATAGTAGTCTTCTGACTCTAAATTCAGTCCAGTCCTCTTTCTACCATCCATAGTGCCTCTATAAAGTGTTCGCTGAGATCTCTTCAAGATCTAAATCCTGTACTCCTATGATTGGTAGAGTGTAAACTCCTTCAGGGCAGCAACCCTCACTTTTGTATTTGTATATGTGCCACAGTGCCTGGCACAGAGATGTTTTATAAATCTTTGCTGTTTGATCCATCTGTAAAATGGGGGTGATACCTAAACTAATTCACAGAATTGTGGGTAAAACGAGATGGAACTGGGACCAAGTGTTACTTGCCTTGGTGAGGGCTGTATTGACTTAAGTTCCAGAACAGAAGAGAAAAAGATATTCCTAACCTAATTGAGAAAAGAGTTACAGTTTAATCTCAGGAGAAAAATCTCAGATAACCTATTCCAAATGCAACATTTCCTGGGAGTTTGGAGGCACCTGAATAGTTACTATTATTCAGAGGAACTGGGAGAGGCTTTGCTGTGGGCATGTTTCATTCCCCATGATCTGAGTTTCCATCTTGGGAAGGAAAGAGGCCATGGTGTTACTGAGTAGTCAAATGGGAGGGAAGGAATTGAGTACAGGTCAGAGGAGACAGGATGCGGGTTTAGGCTTCAAGTATGTGTGTGGGAGGGAGGGAGACAGGCAGACACAGATGGTCTGGGATTCTCAAGTTGCCCTACAATGGTCAAGCAGTAGGTGTCTTAAGCCTTCCAAAAGGAAACAGAGCAGCTGCTCAGTGAGGTAAAGGATCATAGGATTGTAAATTTAAATCTGGAAAGGACAATCTAGTCCAGCTTCTCTCATTTTACAGATGAGGAAACTGACACCCAGGTTTTTAAGTGACCTTGGCCACGGACACCCAGCAGCCACGCCTGGATTGAAACTCCCGTAATTCCATTCCAAATCTAAACTTTGATGTGCAAGATGGGGCCGGCATCTTTTGGTGCTTTATAAACACTTGCTAATTGATTAAGCATTCAGTAAAATGGAATAATGCTTTAACAAATTGCTTGTCTTGGTCCGGGCTGTGTTAACTTAAGTTCCTGAAAAGGAAGACAAAGAAATCCCCATCTGGTCCTGGGGATACCAGCACATTCCTTTTTGTTTTTTGGCGAGTCAGCTGGGGTTTAGTGATTTGCCCAGGATCAAATAGCAAGTAAGTGTCAAGTCTGAGACTGGATTTGAACTCAGGTCCTCCTGACTCCATGGCCGGTGCTCCATCCCCTGTGCCACCTAGCCGCCCCCAACACACTCCTTTTTTAAAAAAGATCTATAGGATTTAGTAGACCTCAAGCTTAATAACATTTATTAAGTCAACAATGTGAAAAGGCAAGCCGATCAATTAGTAAACATTTATTAAGTATCTACTGTGTATCTTCCTGAGTTCAAATCTGACCTCAGACACTAGCTATATGACCCTGGACACGTCATTTAACCTTGCTTGCCTCAGTTTCCTCATCTGTAAAATAAACCAGAGAAGGAAAAAGCAAACCACTATAGTATCTCTGCCAAGGAAACCCTAAATGAGGTCAGGAAGAGTCAGACACAGCTGAAAAACGACTGAATAACAAATATGCCTGACACTGTGTTGAGCACTGAACGTACAAAAAGAGGAAAAAAAAAAAAACAGTTCCTGACCCAAAGGAAGCTAATAGCCCCAAAAGGTAGTGTGTTCTTAGGCTGTAATAAGAGACAAATAGCCTCTGGGAGAGGGGAGTCGGGAGATTCAGGCAATGTGAAAACAAAACTGTCAATATGTGTATACACACATTCTTTTTAAAAAGAAAGACAAGTAGCACACATAAGGAAGGAGGTGTGATCATTCTGTTGTACTTATACTCTACCATGGTCAGAGCACATTTGAAGAACCAGGTTCATTCTGAGCATCACGTTTTAGGACAAATGGAGACACATCCTGAAGAGGATGGTGTGGAGTTTCCAGTTCAGGCCACATAAGGATGGGTTGGAGGAAGCAGGGGTGGCCAGCTTGGTGGTGGGCCTAGCAGTCTTCAGGCACTGGGAGGGCTGTGGTGTGGAACAAAGAATTGGGTTGTTCTTCTTGACCATAGAGGGCAAAATTTACAGGGAAGATTTGGGTCCCATGGTAGGGAAAAAACTTCCTAATGATTAGTGCTATTCAAAAGTGACATGTGCTGCCCTGGGACGTGGCTGGTTCTCCTTAATTTGATATTTTTTACCAGAGATGTGATGACTCTTATTTGTTAGGGGCATTTGGGGGGTGGGGGTGGGGTTGGGGATTCTTGGTCTAGTAGGGGGTTGGTCCTTTAAAGTTCCTTCTGATGTTTTAGTCTATGATTCTATGAAGTATCATGAAAGAGATAATGGTTTTTATTGGGGCTCCCTCTAAGATGAGAGAAAGAAAGTAGCTCCAGCTGGGGAGATAACCCACAAGAAAGCCTGTGATCACACTCCCACCAATGCCCTCAGCTCTTTTTCTACTGGTCATGGGAGTCAACCAGGAAAAGGGGGAGAGAGGAAGATGAAGAGACAATAAGGGAAGAAGGAAAGAGAGGAGCCAAAGGTGAATGCCGGTCCACCCGGGTCAACTTTGTGAACCCAGAGAATGAACTCTTGCTCATCAGTTTTAGGGTTTTTGTAGGAGTTGTCTGTAGCTCTGAGGGCGGCCTCCAGAGGGAGCTCCAAGGCTTCAGGAAGATGTTCAGAATGGTTTGAACAGCTCTGCGGGAGGGAGCTTCCCTGGAAAGTTGGCTTAGGGGAGGGAGGCAGGGCTTGGCTCCCTCCTGGAAGAAGGAGATTGGGAAGAGAAGGGAAGGGTGGGCCAGAGAAGGCCAAGGACAGGGCAGCCCCTTGTGGTTCGTGTGCCTAGTTAGCAGACAACCCGCTGAGGGCTGGGACTGATCCCATGGCCAGTCAGGACCCCAGGACACAGCTGGGAATCTTGTTCCTTGGTGCATTGAGGGTGGGGACCCCCAGACTGGGGGTGGTAGGAGGGCGTGGCCACAGAAGTGAGAGGTTGCCTGCAATTGTTGAAAAAAAGTTCTAAGGTTCAGAAAGGGAATGCCTCATCTATCAAAGAAGGCAAGGAAAGAAATAGAGATGGGATGATGGACATTTGAGGGACCCCCTTTAGAAAGGACAAGAGGAGGCTTGGTCTGTGTACTGGAGGACCTTCTACCCATAGTGTTGGCCCATTATCTCTAGAAATGCAGCTTCTCCAGAGAAGGCAAGTTATTTTACCCACCTCTGAACCTCAGTTTTCCTCATTTCTAAAATGGGACTGACATTCCTTGGAACCCCTGTCTCATGGGGTAAAGCTGTGAGGAAAACATTTTGTAAATGTACAGTATTTTAGAAAAGTGAGTTGAGGTGGCCGTCTCTTCCTCAGTGGCTTTATTCATTCAATAAGCATTTTTGTAATGCCTACTATGCACCAGGCACTGTTAGGTGTCAGAGATACAGAGACAAAAATGTAAAGCCTTTTATTGAGGAAGGGGGAATACCACACAGTACTTAGAAAAGGGCATGTAAGCTATATTAAAAGTATAGAGTAATAAATATATACATAAATTTATATATAAAAATATAAAGTAAAAACACAGGGACTAGCCAATGGTGGGGGGAAGGGCATCACAGTGACTTGTGAACAAGCCGGCTTCTCTGCTGAGTGGAGGCTTGGCTGAGTAACCCATTCCGACAGAGTACAATGTAGTGGGCAGGGTGTTGAAATTAGAGTCAAAAGACCTGGGCTGAAGCCTGGCTCTGACACATACTAATTGGCTTTTCCATCTCTGTTACTCAGTTTCCCCATCTGTAAAATGAGGGGTTTGAGACTAGGTGGCCTCTGCCACTGTCTAAGAAGCTTTGATGGGGGGAGGAGGGCAGGGGGATGGGGGATGGGGGAGGGGGAGGATGAATGTCCCCACAGGGTGAGAGAGCTTAGACCCATTGAGGAAGTTGTTGGAGCAACTATCAAGGACAGGGCAAGAGAAAATGTTCCTATAGTTGATTAAACATTGATTGGCACTTGGTTGGCACAGTAGATAGGCTGCTGGCCTTAGAGTCAGGACCATCCCAGTTTAAACCCCACCTCAGATACTTCATAGGTCTGTGACCCTGGGCAAAGTCATTTTAACCTCTCTCTCTCTCTCTCTCTCTCTCTCTCTGCCTCAGCTTCCTCATCTGTAAAATGGGGGTTTTAAAAATTACTCTCTCTCACAGGGTTAGTGACCCAAGCAGGTAACCTGAGACTGAACTGAGGCAACATTACGTTATAGGACAGAGATTTGGGTTCAAATCTTGTCTGTGCCACTTAATTACCTTGTGACCTTGGATAAGTCATTTTTCTCTGGTATTCAGTTTCCACATCTTTAAAATGATGAGAGTGATTTGATAATAAGTAAGGGGAAGGGAGTAACACACACACACACACACACACACACACACACACACACTTGTTTTTAGATTAGATCAATATACCCCTCTTGCTTCTGGAGAGGGCATGACAATCAGTTGGAACTCTTCAGACCATGACCACCCTTCTGTGACCACTACTGCCCTACAAATGTTGTCTCCCCCATTTGAATATAAGCTCCTTGAGGCCAGGGACAGTCTTACTTTTTATTTATATCCCCAGTACCTAGCACAGTGCTTGGCACATAGTAAGCCCTAAGTAAAATGCTTTTTCTTCAATCATTTATTTATTTCCAGCTTTAAATCCTGCCCCCCTCTGATTCGTCTGGGCCAGAATGGGAATGCTTGAACCCTGATTTTCTGACCCCTGTCCATGGCTCTTTCCACCCCCCTTACCCACCCTCCTCCTGTTGACCGTGTCCTCTGAGCAGCATGTCTGCTTTGGGATGCCAGCTGGGGCAGAGGCAGGAGGACAGGATATGGAAGGGGGCCCTAGACAAAGGCTTCCGGGAAGTTGAACTCTACTGTGATATTCCCTCCTTGGGGAGAATAGGGAAGGCAGGCAGAGGGAGCAGCCCAAGTATTGTCAAGAGCTGGAGAGCCTTCCCTGTAGGAGAGGAGGGAGGGTGGAAAGAGAGGAGAGAGAGGAGGAGGGCCCTGGCAAGGGCCTCGGGCTCTAGGCAGGAAGAACAGTAACAATTGATTCATAAATCTTTGTGTGCGGGAGGAATTGGTCCAATTGCCTTTTTAGGTCAGAACACATTCAAATGCGGACTGGGCAGGAGGCCTAGGTGGAGTGGGTGGCCAGCCTCCAGCCCCACATCTGCTGGGGAGGCCAGGAGGGAGCGGGCAGGCATAGGCCTCCCCAAGAGCAGGGGCCTGCCCCTCCGGAAGTTCCTTGTCACCCGACCCCTGTCTCCTTACCCACCTTTTGGCTTCTACCCTTTCCCACCACAGGATGGCTGTAAGGGAACTACCGGAAAAGACTGAAATCACCTGGGGATTTGCCTCCCCTGTCCCCAGTTAAAAGGAGGACAGCCCACCTGGAGAGAATTCACATGTGTGAATCTCAGCTATATGGCAGATGACTTGCCATTTCTTTGAGTGTGAGAGAATGAAATGGGTGTGTAAAAGACAATGCGTATGGAAGACAGAGAAAATGAGCAAGGGAGGGAGTGTGCACCAGAGAGTGAGTGAGATTGGGTGTCAGAAAGAAAATGACTGAGGTGGGGGAATGTGAGAGAGAAAAAATGACTGAGGAAAAAAATGTGTGTGTGTGTGTGTGTGTGTGTGTGTGTGTGTGTGTGAGAGAGTGACAGAGAGAGAGACAGACAGACAGAGTCAGAAAAAGAGACAAAGACAGATGAAGAGACAAAGACAGGGGAGGGAAAGACAGAGAGAGGGAGGGGGAAACAGAGAAGGAGAGGGAGAGAGAGCCAGACTCAGAGACAAAGAGAGACAGAGAGACAAAGACAGAGGGGAGGGAGAGACAGACAGACAGACTCAGAGACAAAGAGAGACAGAGAGACAAAGACGGGGGAGGGAGAGACAGAAAGAGGGAGAGGGAGAGACAGGAGAGAGGGAGAAGGAAAGGGGGAGAGAGACAGACAGAGACAGAAGGAGACAAAGACAGAGGGGAGGGTGCTTAGAGGGAGGGGAAAGGGAGAAGGAGAGAAAGAGAGAGAAGGAGGAGGAGAAGAAGAGGAGGAGGAGGAGGAAGGAGAGAAAAGAAAGGAGAAAGGGAAAGAGAAAGAAAAAGAGGGAGGGAGGAAGGAAAAGAGAGGGAGGGAGAAAGAGAGGGAGGGAGGGAGAGAAAGAGAAACACAGAGAGAGGGAGAGAGGAAGGTGGAAAGGGAGGAGGAAAGGGAGAGAGAATGCTCATTCAACTGAGTGCCTGGGAAGGGGGACTGTGGGGAAGTGAGGGAGAGAACATAAACTAATGAGACTCTGGGTATGAAACAACTGTCATTCAGGTCATTTAAAATTCCCTAATGACTAAATTAATGACAAATTAACTTCCTCTTTGTGCTGGTTTTGAATGATAGTTTCCATGAGGAGCTGTGCCTCTTAAAAGTCCTGGGCAGGTAGCAGCGGCCTGCTTTGCTAGTTCTGTGGGCACAGCCCCCTCTCCCAGGAGTGTCGGGCCCTGCAGAGGGCCCCCCCCACCCTTGCTTGGACAGTGGCCTTTGCCTCCCATCTGCCATTGTGTCTGTTCTCATGCTTCCTGCTCTACCTGTTGACTTTCTGCTTAGGTTGGAACGGCAGCAAACACTTTGGTCTGCTGTTACCATCACCTTTTGTATTTGCTCACAGCATTCTGGGGAAAACATTATTTTAGAATCCTATGGAAAGACATATGGGGAGTTTCTTAAGTGGTTTAATAAACCATTCCCTTCAATCCTAACAAATCCACAGACTTAAACTGGGGCAATTTATGTTGATTAGACATGTAGTCAAACCTCCCTGATTTCCCATTCACATTACAAAGCTACAGAGGGTAACAGGCTTCAGGAGCCTGGCATGCTACCCAGGACTCCCTGGGTCCTTGGTACCCACAGCTCTCTGAGCCATTGGGATGCAGGGATCCCATGTGCTTGATAACCAGTTTTTCTGTGTATTGGTCCCTGCCACTGTCCATTCCTTCTCCCTCTCTCCTCTCCCTTTCCTGGGAGAGGTTGGATACAAACTCACTTTCCTCTCTATTTTTAGAGATAGTCTAACAGACATCGTGTTCTTTCCTGCACAGATTTGACATCATTGAATACTAAGAAATCTGTGCTGTCTTCCAAGGACCCTTATTCTTCCTCAGCCTCCAGTCCTGAGAAGCCTTCTGGTGATGTTCCTGTGTCTCAGGTATGACCACTGAGATGGCTGCCTTGACTTCTGAGGAAGCAAAATGTGATGTCCATCCTCCTCCCTCCCATTGCTATCCAAAAGCTTCCTGGTACCATACAAAATGAACAGCCCAGAATAGGGAAGGGGCAGATAAGGGGCTAGCCCCTAACATTCATTGCCTGCATAGCCTTGTGTCTTTTTCTTCAGTTCCTTTGCCCTAAGATAATAATCTTCGCGTTAAGTCAAAATATAACCTGCCTCTGACATGTACCATGCAGTCAATCAGAAAATTCTTTCTTATCGGAATCAAAATGAAACGAGGTACCAGGGCTCAGTTCCCTACTTCCAGGGTAAGATATACATAGCAGGAAGTAGGCCAACCTCTTAATCCTCTTTTCAGATGTCAGGGGCTGTATTCGTCTTTCAAAAAGATCAAAGGCTCCTAAACTTCCAGGCAGATGGTATGATTTGCTCAGCGCTGACTAGAAATGACAACTTTCTGAATAATGAGGCAAACTGAGGGAAAGAAACTCGATAGGATCGTGAATCAGGTTTGGAGGGGATAGCAAGAGGTCATGGAAGATATCCCCCTGCTTCCAAATCTCCAGTGGAGGAAAGTAGCTTTTCTTAGAAAAGAAGCAGAGTTGTCTAGTGTAACTCATGCCAGAGAGAGACATTCTGCAAGCACCCTGAGAAGCTGTAATTCATCCATGCCTTGAAGACTTTTAGGAGTGGGGAACCAATCACCTTCTGAGATTGTCCATTCCAATTTGGGGTGGATCTAATAGTCAGGAAGTTGTCCTTCATCTCAAACATATTTTTATCTCTTCACACCTTTCACCCATTGTTCCTAGACCTGCCCTTTGGGGCCAACAACAAATAGAATACCTTTTCTGAAGAATTCTCTAATGCCCCACCCCCACCCAACCTGACCCTTCTCTTCTCCAGTCTAAACATACTCAGAGTCTTCAAAAAAAAATTATCACATGGCATGGACTCAACTCTCTGGTTGCTTCCTTCTGGATATTTACTAGCTTATCATCATCCTTTCCAAAACATGGTGACCAGACCTGAGCATAATACTCCGGATAAGCCCTGACCAGAGAGGAGGGCAGTGGAATTGTTTCTCCTTGGAATAATTTGTAAATTGGTCGAAAAACTAAAGGAAGGGCTAAAGAAAGGAAGTTTAGAGTAGATTGGAAGATTTTCCAGGGCAGGAGCGATATCGCCTCTTGTCTTTGTGTCTTCCCATATCACCAAGCTCAAGGCTCTGTGTTCCTGATGTTGACAGACTGGCTAACTTCCAGGTACCTCATCATTATCATTAACATCATCACCGCCACCACCATCATCGTCATCATCATCATCACCATCATCATCCTCACTATTGCCTATTAACCTAAGACATTTATAGAGAAATTAATAATAATAATAGGTAGACTCTAAATAGTCCTTTGATATGCCACAGCTAGATATTTTTAATGGAGGATGGTGCTAGCCATTATGACAAAATTTGGAAATAGAACTTATCAGTCACAGGCAAAGGCTTCATATTACTTTTTTTTTTTTTGGCCAATGATACCCTTAATTCCAAAGAGGCACAGATCAATGCAGAGCAGCTGGAAGAAATCATTTCGTTTTGAAGCCCAGATTTGATGAAACAAGAGCGGAAATTGAAGAATTACTTATATCTGAAAAGAGGAAATCCGTCCAACTTGAAGGCATTAAAAATCTTCACTGAACACAAACTCCAGGAGTTCTACCCAATAACAAAAATAGATGGCCAAAATACAGACAATTCTCACTTTATGTAAATTTGAGTTTACATAAAGAATTCTGAAAGAAATTCACATTCCAAAAAACCTGTTAACTTTGCTATACAGTATTGTGCTCTCTTTCTCTCTGTTCCTGGGCACTTTGCAGCCCCCCACCAAAAAAAGCCCCTCCAAGTGAAAGCAGAAGAACTGAGGCATAGAGAGACCACCGCTGCCTGATGCAGGGCTTGGCTTGAGACCTTCTTGCCTAGAGAAGACCCTACTCTACCCACCTGCCTGGCCTCCACATGTCTGTCTTCTGTCTGCCCACTCATGTACCTCGTGTCTGTCCCCTGCCCTCATGTGTTGCCTGTCTTCTCCTATCTGGGTCCATGTCCAGCCCCCATGTATCTGCCCCCCAATATTCTTCCTCTTGATCCCACCAGGCCCCAAAGTGGCTGTCCCAGGTCTGTGTGTTCCTCCTCCTGCTCTCCCTTCTCCATCCTGGCATGGCAGGAAGCCCTCTTTTTGCCTCCTTTTTTCTCTCCCTTCCTTCCCCATGTCCACAGGTAAATTTGTATTAAGCAAATCATTTTATAGAGGTCTGCAGAATGGTCTGCTTAAGTAAAGTGAGAACTGTCTGTGAAGCTATTGTCTCAAAAGATTTGAAGTGATGGGCTCACTTAGAACGACATTTTGAAAAGTCCTTTCTAAGTTTGATGGTACAACTCTAACTAGCTGACCAGCTATACTAAAATAGTCATTCAAAAAAGCCTACATTTGCTACATCCATCACAAACAAATTTTATGACACTTTTTGATATAAAATAAAATTTCTGGACCTGTATGCAACCATATATGCTGTGGCTGTTGCCATGGTAAGGATTGTGATAGGGATGGTGAAGCAATCAAGGAATACTCCTGGAGACAGATGTCAAACATCATCATGGTGGAAATATCTTAAAAAGGATGTTGACTTAGGAAAAGGTGTTGGGAGATTACAACAATATCTAGTTGGCACATGAAGCAAGATAATAATAGCAACCTAGAATGCCATATTGTCTAATTAAAGGCAGCCAAAAGAAACATGTGGAACAGACCTTGGGGTGGAGGGGAAGCATATGACAGCAAATAAGACACCTTTAATCAACAATTGAATGGAAATGCCAGAAGGTTAAGGTGATATAAGGAGTCAAAACAACACAAAAATCAAAACAGGCCATTTGGCCTCAACCAAAGGCTCTACTATGGAGTCATGAGAAGCAAAGAAATCAGAGAGGAAGGAGAATCCCTAAGGATGGAGGATGTGGGAAAATGCTGGTTGTCTTTTTTTTTCTTTTTTTTTTTTTACTGCAAGAAGTCCAACAATGAATATGCAAATTAGATCAAACATGAAAGAGAAAACTTGTATACTATCAATACAATGGACGACAAAAATTATTTTGTCAAGGAAAGTGACTGAAACTCTAGCTTCTCTGCAAAGCTGGAAAGTGGTGGGGCAGAATGAGGTCAAATAACTGGTATAGATGCTTCATAGCAGCATACGAATTATTAGCAAAGAACTTTACCAGCTTCCTCTCAGACATAAATGTGATCCCACTTTTCTTATCATTACATCTATTACCCAAAGATGAGAATCCAAATAATTCTTCAATATATGGGTCAATTATATACTTAGGTATTTTATGTAAAGCATTTGTGGTTTATATCACCAAAAAAAAAGAATGATGTGCCAAAAAGTTTTAGGAGTACAAAAGCCAATTCATCTTTGATTGGTATTATTGAACAAGTCACACCAAAGCTTCATAGCCTTTCCTGATGATCACAAAGCCTTTGTCTCAATTCTGCACACCTAGTTTGTTCACATACTCCAGATTTATAGGAGAAACCTAAGCATAGGGAAAATCCTAGATCATTTGATGTCAACATAGAAAACTGCTCTCTAAAACATGGCACTAGAACAATCATGTTAAGAATGATTGATGTAAATCATGGTATTTTCCAGGAAGATAGCTCAAGCTGGCTATGATTCTGCATAACTTTAAAACTATTACCACCATTCCTGAATAGAAATGAGTTTAAGTCCCACATCCAAAAGAGAGTCATACCAATACATTTTATTAATCACCTAATTACATAGATGGCATCAAATTGTATGGTTCCACCAAAAACATATTGAATATCTTCTTCATACTATGGACATTTTCTTCTGTGATATCAAAATGCCATTTAGACTCAACTAGTGTAAAATTGTTAACCTGTATTAAGGGAAAATAGAGATGGAAGACCGTGGGCTTGAATCTGAAGGTAAAATCAAAACAATGATCAAAGGTGATATTTACAGATGCAATAAGCAATCATTTTCTCCTCCAGCACAGTAGTCAGCAAAAACATCCAACATAAAAGGATAATAGTAGGTTGGTGACTTGTCCCCATGATCATTTTTATCTGAACTCCATCAAATAAGAATAAGACAATAGTTGACTGTTATGGGATCATTGAATGAATTGAGGCACTGCCAGGGGTGCATAGCCAGAAGACAGCTAGTCCAACACCTGTCTTTTTCCAGATGAAGAAATTGAGGTCCATACATTTACAAAAATATTTATAGCAGCTCTTTTTGTGGTGGCAAAGAATTGGAAATTGAGAGGATGCCCATCAATTGGGGATGACTGGACAAGTTGTGGTATATGAATGTAATGGAATACTATTGTGCTATGAGAAATGATGAGCAGACAGACTTCAGAAAAACCTGGAAAGACTTGTATGGTCTGATGCTGAGTGAAGTGAGCAGAACCAGGAGAATGTTGTACACATTAATAGCCACGTTGTGCGATGACTAATATTGATAGTCTTAACCCTTCTCAGCAATACAAGGATCTAAGACATCTCTGAAGGCCTCATGATGGAAAATACTATCCACAAAGAAGAAAGAACTATGGAATTTGAATGCAGATCAAAGCATACTATTTGCTATATTTTTCTTCTGTTGTGTTTTGTTTCCTCTTTCTGGTGGTTCCTCCCATTGGTTCTAATTCTTACTTACAACATGACTAATGTGAAAATCTGTTTAATAGGAATGTATATGTAGAGCCTATATCAGATTGCACGCTGTCTTGGGGAGAGAGGTGGGGAAGGAAGAGGAGAATAATTTAAAACTCTAAAGCCTATGGAAGTGATTGTTGATAATTCAAAAAAATTAATTAAAAATTAAAAAAAAGAAATTGGGTCCAGAGAGGCTAAGTGATTTAGGCAACCAAAGTTGAATAGGTAGTAAGCATCAGAAGTGGGATTCAAACCCAAGATCTTTTGAGTCCAAAGCTAGCACTCTTTCCTCTCTCAGTTCAGTTCAGTCATTTTTCACTATCCTACTCTCTTTGACCCCATTTGGGGTTTTCTTGGCCAAGATACTGAAATGGTTTGCCATTTCCTTCTTCAGTTCATTTCACAGATGAGGAAACTGAGGCAAACAGAGTTAAGTGATTTGCCCAGGGTCACACAACTCATAAGTGTCTGAGGCTGGATTTGAACTCAGGAAGATGAGTCTTCCTGATTCCAAGCCCAGTGCTCTATCCACTACACTACCTAGCTACCCTTTTTCCACTCTACCATGCTATAAATAAGGTAATATTCATAACCCCATAGATGAGTACTGGCAGTATTATGGTACCCATTTTACACATGAGCACACTGAGTTTCAAGGATATAAAATTACTTTCCCATGTTCACCATCATCTTGGCCACCACTGCCAGGGTCCTATTGCTATGATGCTACATTTCCTCTCAGCAAGGAAATTTACCCCAGTTGTAGTTTTGGCTCTGTTCCAACGCAACCGTCAAGAGCGTGGGGAGGGAAATGTGTGGAGAATGGTCAGGGAAAGGAATGCCTATAGAAAAGTAATGAGTAATAGGGATTGCTTGATAATTGCTTTTATGTTGACTTCCTCCAGGTGACATCATACACCAATTCTCCCGAAATCACAAGAAGATATTGCCAGCCTCAAAGTCCAATCATTCAGGAAAGAGTCCACATGCGAGAGGTGTGCAAGGAAATCCCCCTCTATGTACCTCATCATTTCCAAAAGGAGGCAAAACACCCCCTGGTGACACCCAAGGAAGATTCCTCTTCCACACACAAGCCAAGGGATGCTGATGTGAAGAGTTCCAATGGCCATAGGAAAGCCAAAGCAATTCCTTGGGAAACTTGGAGTACCCAGGATGGTCTAGATCATGGTGGAGTAGAGACAAGGAGCAGGATATCTGCTGAGGAAGGCCAAGGAAATGCAAGCATAGGAACTAAGAGAGAAGACTACCACCTGAAATCCACCGAGGGGAAAAAACAATGCTTAAAGAAATTGGTCCTCACTCAAGAACAAAAGTCCCAGTTGCTGGACTGGAATGACGCTAATGCAGAACATTTAAGCCTGGGTGCTAGACAGAGACCAGACCCAATGCATGCCAGAGATGGTAAAAGCAGGGAAACATCAAAGCTGGCTGACCTTTCATCATTGTCTGGGCCGGCCAGGGAAGCCTTGTCAGACCAGAGGGGGAGTCCGGAGGGAGTCTGTGGCCCAGCACTGAAGGCTGCAGGGGAGTGGACAGTACTCAGACCCAAATCCCCTCTGCGCCTGATAGCGAATGCAATCAGGAGGTCCTTGGAGCCCCTCCTCTCTAACCCAGAGGGCGGAAAGAAGATCAGTGACTACAGAACAAAAGCACCTTTGGAGAACTTGTCTTTGAGTGGCCCCCACCCCAGTGTTCACTCCCAAAACTTAAGGAAAACAAGTTATAGTAAAGACTGGGATGTGCAGAAGCCCAGCCACGTCTCCTTACTGGCACCGGGGAAGGAGAAAGGGACCACAGACTCAGCCTTCTCATTACATGGTGCCACCCATGGTGCCATTGAGGCTCCACCAGGGGCACATAACCCTTCAGGTAGAGCTGCCCGGGCTTGCAGTTTACCCAGTAGGCAAAAGAGGCCTATGACCCTACCCTCTGCCAAGGTGGAAGATGTCTTTGACAAAGTTAGCCTGAAAGAGGTTCTACTGGGGAGACCTTTGGACCAGTACAATGCCCTGGCGAAGAAAAGCACTCTCTTTTCCTCCTTTAGACTCAAAGAAAAAACTGATGACAACCTGGGGTCAATGAGAACAACAAAGGATCTCAGCAATGTCTTTAGTAACCCAGGAGCAATGGACATCTGCCATCCTCCAAAGACACCATCTCAGTCATGGAATAAGTCTTCCTCAGGCCACGTGGACATTCCTTTCCCTGGAGAAAACTCATGTAAGTACTTTTTTTTTTTCTAGCAAGGTTTTCAATAGCAATCAATCAACATGCACTTATTAAGCACTTACTGTGTGCTAGTCACTGTTCTAAGTCCTGGGGATACAGATAAAAAAAATGAAATAATTTCTAATCCCAAGGAATTTGCATTCTAATGGGGGAGAGTGCAAGTAAATATATAGATATCTATGGTAGGAATAATAAATACCAATAAATACAAAATAATTCAATATACAGTAGTATTGGAGGGAGGGCACCAGAAGTTGGAGGGAATCAAAAAAGGCTTCAAGTAGAAAGCAATTCTTGAGATGCATCTTGAAAGAAGTGTGGCGACCAAAAAGTTTCAAGAGGCATCATTTCTGAGTAATTTAATCATCTTATTAATAATGCTATCATTTTAATAAAAGGATGGTCATTTAGGCATCTCTCTCTTAGACCAAAGATAATAATGGCGGGTGGGTTCATGGCTTGTATGCTTATTGGAAGAGGGGTGTTTCCAATTCCAGTCAATTCTGATTGGTTAACAATTAATGAGAGAATGAATATTACAATGAAAGGCCAAACCTATTCAAATGAACCTTGATTATTTCATTTGCTTCTAAGTTACCCCCCCCCACATTGGGCAATCTATTCAAAGAATTTATCCCCACCCAAACCTGAGAAGAGCACAAGGGCTTCCCCACCTTGGTAGGCTCTTAGTCCAATCTCATTATCAGTAATGTCCTTCAAGACTCTGAACTTTTGAAATCAGAACTTTAGAGAAAGGAGGAACTCTGGATCTCCCCAAATCATTGGTTAATAATAATTTCTCTCAGAAGAGAGGCAATCAGGAGGGAGTGAATTCCAGACACCAGCATAAAGATGGGAGAATGGAGTATTGTGTGTGAGGAACAAAGAAAAGGGTGATTTGTTTAAATTGAAGAGCAGGCAGGTGAGTAATGTCCAATGAGGCTAGAAGGATAGGTGAGGATCAAGTTGTGAAGGGCTTTAGAGGTAATAGGGAGAGACTGAGATTTATTAAATAAGGGAATGACATGGTCAGATCTGATTTAAGGAAAATAACTTTGGAAACAGTGTGGACTGGAGTTGGGGGAGGCTTGAGGTAAGGAGTCAAATTAGGAGACCATTGTAATAAACTCTGTGAAAAGTGATGAGGGCATGGACGAGGGTGGCAGCTGTGAGAGCAGAGAGAAGTCAGAACGAGGGATGTGGAGGGAAAAAAGAGGATTTGGTAACAAATCAAATATATGGAATGAGAGGAAGCTAGCTGGGCCAAGGAATATTTTAAAAGCCTGAGAATTGTTTGGTTAAAGCAATCAGCTTCATGGGCATTCCATAGACCCTGGGCTCTATGCTTCAGTTTGCTCATCCATAAAATGAAAGGGTAAAACTCTATGGCCACTAAGATCCCTTGAAGCTCTAAATCGATGATTTGATGAAAAATTCTTAGATTGCCGAAAGTACTTGAAGAGATTCTGACCAGGTTGAGTTGCCCCTGCTCTAGAACAGGAGGAACTTGAAGAGATTCTGACCAGGTTGAGTTGC